ATATATATATATATATATATATATATATTGTTCAACACAAAACTGTGTAACAAAAGCATACAAGGTTAGATATCATGATAGTTCAAGCATAATACATGGCGTTTTGGAAGACTGGGTTTATCCATTAAAGTGTATTGGTCATGCAGAGTCAAGGGTGCATCTGCTTCATCCTCGTTATATTGATTAAAAGCGAATGAGAGATACTGGTATGGAGATAATATTTTGGAACATTCACAAGCTGATTTGACTGAAAACGAAACAAACGCCCCAATCTGCGTTACCCTAATCAACTTCTTGTTTTATTAAAAATATTCAACCTAAACCGACGAAAGTATAGGCAACATCCAATCATGAAATTGAAATCTGGATTATATTTTCTTCCCAATTTATCGTGATTTCTAGCCCCTTTTGAATATTTTGACATCAATTGTGATGTACAAACTGTATATGAATCACCGCAAACGAACTTGTAAGCGGCTGTTTTTACGCATGATGGTATATTTGGATCATGCAGACATTACTTGTGGTCTATTTACACATGGAACAGTGTTTGGTAAGTGGGTGGTTGTCGCATCAGGAACGTCATATTTGAGTCAGCCTGAGATAATCGAGGCTAAACAATTTGACAGTAGTTAATATGAAGGGTTTCATGTTTATTAAAAAAGATCCGTTGTTTTGCTTTGGTTAAATCTGGTCGCGCCTTGTTTCTTCATGTCTCAACAGATTAAAGTGGCTTCGACGATGGAATCCCTACAGAAAGCCAATTCACGATCTGGCCGGTGCCCGCGCTACGCGATCAACGAACTTGGACGAGAATCAGAGCAAAACGAAGAGACAGCACAAGTCACGATAATCCAACATGAACTCGGATTGAAGCACTTGTTATTTTGTATAGATGATATATATAATATTAATAATAATCAAATTAATGACTGATTTTGCTTGAAAATGATGCAGATCGTGTCTGTGGTGTTGGCGCAATCAATAATACACACCTCATCAATCTGCTACACATGCACATAGCGCACGAATTAAAAGTGCCTGATGAATTCGCTCGGCTTCCTCACGGTTTCTAGATATCGGTGGAATAAAATCGTGCATATATAGCAAGAGGAAGGAATAATGCTGATAGCCGTACATGGGCTCATCAGTAGGCAAATGCGTTACATATCACTGTTTATTTGTGGATGAAGGCGAGGTTGTCAGCCCGACGAAAACAGGGCGCATAAAAACCGATTAGTAGGCTTTTGCCGTACCAAGTCTGCTTCCATAAAGATCCTGTGCTTGATAAAGTTATGAGGAGTAGAGAAACAAGGTATGGGGTTGGTATAAATGATAATTGTGGTGAA